ATTATCCCACAAATCAAAAGCAGGCTGGAGCAGGCCAGTCACTTGGACAAGGCAATCGCAAGCCAATCACCACAGGGGCCGGGCTGTGCCCCCAGAACTCACGTAGTTGGAAGCACACCATGACTTGAGGTGCAAGTAGAGCTGCAGCCGTGGTGCCTGCAGCTTCAAAAAGTCGCTCGCCAGAGCCGAAGTGCGGTCGAAAGCGTCGTCTTCAAGCACCGGACGCACCGACTCCAGGTACTGCAGGCAGAGGCGGAGCAGAGCGTCAGAGCCCCGCCGCCCCCATCCCGGGACCGCCCCACCCGGGACACGCCCACCTTTCGTATGGTCTCTTGTGCTGTGGGCACCGGCTGCCGCGGGAGCGCACGTTGGAAGCTGAACAGCCTTGGGTGCCTCCCGGAGAAGATTCGAACAAGTGCCTGAGGTCAGAGGAGAGGACCAAGTCGGGGGAGAGAGCAGGAAGGACGAAGATGGTGCGGGGAGAGGGGAAGGATGAGAGAGAGGCTGTGCGGCAGAGACGACGAAGATGATGGAGAGGGGGAATGGAGAGATGGAGAAGAATGAGGGAGGATAAGATTATGGATGAGGGAGGGAAAGGGAGGATGGAGATGATGACGGGAGAGAGGTAGAGACAGTGAAGAACAGGTTGAGAGGACTGAGGCGACGGAGAGAGGGAGGGGGAGATGATGTGGATCGAGACCACAGATGATGTGCGGAGGGAGAGATGACAGAGGTGAGGGAGAGGAAACCAAGACCCACAGGGAAAGAGAGGGACAGAGAGAGGAACACAGACCCAAAGACAAGACATGGACAGAGGAGAGGCCGGGTGGAGAAAGAGAGAGACAGAGACAGAGAGACAGAGAGAGACAGAGACAGAGAGACAGAGAGAGACAGAGACAGAGACAGAGAGACAGACAGACAGAGAGAGACAGAGACAGAGACCCAGAAAGAGGGACAGCAGTGTGTATCTGGAAGTCCAGATCCTCTCACATACCAGCCAGGTCTTTGTGGGTGAAGACATAGTACCATGAGGTTCCAGAAGCCAGCCATGGTGGGACAGAAGCAGCCTTAGAGCCACATGAAGTGTGAAGACCAGGGCCCCCCACAGACACGAGGCAAACAGTGCTGCTGCCAGGAGCCCCCGGAGCTGATAGTGCTGTCCCCCCCTGAGAGAGATGAATAGAAAGTGGAGTCCCTGAGGCTGTGCAGTGGGCTGCAGCTGCAGGATGGGCTGGAAACAACCACATTTGACACACACGTTGATCTCATGAAGTGGGTGTCCTTCTGGTGCCCATGACCACCCTTATGGAAGCACCAAGGTTCTAAAATAATCACTTTCCTGGGAGCAGGTGCACACCATAGTCCAGTGCTTGTCCAGCATGCAAACACCCTGGGTTCAATTCACACATAAACTGGGTGTGGTTGTACAACGTTAAAATCCCAGCACTGGCTGGGGGGGGGCTCACACCTTTAATCCCAGTACCTGGGAGGCAGAGGCAGGCGGACCTCTGTGACTTCCAGTGCTGGGATTAAAGCAATGAGCCACCTCACCTGCCCCCTGATAAAGTTTCAGGTCTGACTATGTGATAAGAGATAGAAAGCCTTTAATCCCAACACTCGGGAGGCAGAGGCAGGTGGATCTCTGTGAGTTCGAGACCAGCCTGGTCCACAGAGTGAGTTCCAGGATAGCTTCCAAAACAATACAGAGAAACCCTGTCTTGAAAAACCAACAAAGAGAGAGAGAGAGAGAGAGAGAGAGTGAGTGAGAGAGAGAGAGAGAGAGAGAGAGAGAGAGAGAGAGAGAGAGAGAGAGAAAGCCTGATGTGGTAGTCTTGGGAGGTGGAGACAGGGAGATTGGAGGTCAGCCTACTCTATATATTGAGTTCCAGGACAGTTAGGACTATAGAGACAAACCTTGTCTCAAAAACAACAACCAAAACAAACAAACAAAATTGGACTGAAGAGACAACTCCACCGTTTAAAGCACTTGTAGGAGACACGGGTTAGATTCCCAGCTCAACAATTTGACTCTAGTTCTGGGGGATCCAATACCCTCTTTAGGCCTCCTCTGGCGCTGTACACATGTAGTGCATAGACAGACATACATGCAGTCAAAACACACATACAAGCCGGGCGTCGGTGCCGCACACCTTTAATCCCAGCACTCGGGAGGCAGAGGCAGGCGGATCTCTGTGAGTTCGAGACCAGCCTGGACTACCAAGCGAGTTCCAGGACAGCCTCCAAAGCCACAGAGAAACCCTGTCTCAAAAAACCAAAAAAAACAAAAACAAAAAAACCCCACACACATACAAATAAACTGTTTAAGATAGCTGGGAAGTGGCAGTGCACAGCTTTAATCCCAGCACCCAGGATGCAGAGACAGGTGGATTTCTGTGTGTTCAAGGGCCAGCCTGGTCTACATAGGGAATTCCAGGACAATCTCTACATAAACGTCTTTACACAGATAAACCCTGTCTCAAAAAAGAAATAGGTAAGTAAAAGTATGAAATGAAAGAGAGGGAGCCCTCCTGTTTGTTTGTTTTTATTTTTGGCTGTACCTCTATTAAAGTAAGCTCCAGCCAAGCGGTGGTGGCACATGCCTTTAATCCCAGCACTCGGGAGGCAGAGGCAGGTGGATCTCTGTGAGTTCGAGGCAGGGCTGGACCAACAGCCTCCAAAACAATACAGATAAACCCTGTCTCGTAAAACCAAAAAAAAAAAAAAAAGTAAGCTCCAGAAATTACATTTTTTGTTGTTGTTGTTGTTTTTCTAGACAAGGTTTCTCTGTAGCTTTGGAGCCTGTCCTGGAACTCACACTATAGACCATACTGTTCTTGGTGAGGTTTAGGGCGGTGACAGGTGTGGAGGAGGGTCCTTACCAGTCTGGAAGCAACTCTTTAATCTTCTCCATCAGTCCTAGAGAAGGGTCCAGCTGGAGGAAACAGGCAAGCTGGATTGCACTGAAGAGGAAAAGCCAGCTAAGGGGGGCTTGCAGGGACCATACCAGTAAGAAAGTCATTCTGTGGTGAGAAAAGGACATCGTCAGTCATATATTTCCTCTGAGGACATGCTCTATATCACTCTCAGTGGCTTATAGGGTCCCAGATGTGAGCAGAACTCAGGATCCCCTTTATTGAATGTATCAGTAAGGAGCTGGGGGAATGGTTTAGGGGTAGAGCCTTTGCCTAGAATCCCCAGGTAAGGGGGTTGGGGCTGGCTAGGATAGAGCCTATTCCTAGAATCTACCATGAGGATCTGGAGCATGGTAGGGCACTTTCCTAGAATCTACCAGTGAGGGACTGAAGGCATTATTTACTCAAGCTGGTCTAGATTGTTCAAGACCCTGGGTCCCGACCCTCAACACCAACAAATAAATAGAAAAATAAAATCAAGATAAGGAGACTTGAGTTCTAGAAGTTGTTGGGGGAGAAGTTGTGGGGGAGAAGTTGTGTGTGTTGGGGGAGAATTCTGGGGCGAGTGAAGAGCTGAGCAGGGGAGGCCAACGGGTGGGACAGAGCATCCCAGGTGAAGGCACACATAGCTAATAGTGGCCTGGGACTGGACATCCTGATCTTCAGAAGTGGGCTTCAGAAACCCCGGAAGCAGGTACTAGATCCCCAGAACGGAAGTAGCCCTTCTCACCCAGACACGCCAGAGATGCCTCTTCCAGGAGCGCAGACCAGAGAGGTAAATCTCCTGCCACACGGGGGAGGAGAGCTCTGCTGCCCCATCGGAGCTCAGTGGAGAAAGCAAGCTGGAGGCCTGCAGTGCCTCAGCCATGCTCCCTGGGGTCCCTGGGAGGGAGATGGAGTCATTCCCCCGGACCTCGGTGCCCACTCCCTCAGACCCAGGGTGCAGACTTGGGCTTCTGCTCTCAGGCCTTGGGAGGCTCCGGATGCAGGCCCTTAGGAGTCTAGACCCCCCTCTCCTTCAGACCCAGCGGTCCAACCCCCAGTGCCCTCTCTCAGATCCTACCCCTTCTTCCCCACAGCAGGCCACAGACTCCACACTCTTCCCAAAGCACCTGAGGGGTATTGCAGTTCACAGCGGGAGGGTTAGAGGGCTTGGGGCATTCAGTTGCGGACCTCTGTGGAGCGGGGTGGAGAACAAGCTGTCTCGCTGAGAATTCAGTGCTCAGTATTTGGAGTGGGGGAGGGAAACTGATCTAGGATTAGTTGTGAGGCTTCAAATAAAACATACTAGTTTTTAGACCTATAGGGAAATGAGTATCTGCCGACGACGGTGGCAATGTTCAATTCCCATTGCAAGGCGGAGGCATGGGGGATCCTTTTCACTATGGGGTCTGGAGAGGGATGGGAGAGGAAGCACCCTACTGCGCATGCTCGGCAGCGAGAGATGCTGGTGATGAGTGAACGGAGTCCAGGACAATTGATGGAGAGTCCCGCTAGCTTACCCCAATACAAGGCCCACAGCCCCTCTTGAGCCCTGCCCTGTACTTACGCTGTTCAGAGGTCAGCAACTGAGGCTCCTGGGTTCAATCGCATGGATACCTCCTTCCTCCCAGCTTCCCACACACACACATATATATATCCAGTCCCTGTGTAATGAGTCCACGACCTGATTAACCGTCTTCGGCTGTCACTTGTCACCTTAAAGCCCACATCCACCTTGCGTGCACCTAACTGGATGTTCAGGTCCCGGATTTTATCCCCGCCCCCTGATCCCTCCGCGTTGTGTTCCTGCCCCTTTCCAATCCCTCCGCGTTCTCTCCCCGCCCCCTTGAAGTTCCAGCGTCCAACCCCCCACCCCAAGCCCGGTGTTTGTTCAAAGGACCAGATCAGCCTTGGCTCTGTGCGAGCTCAGAGCCCTCTTGTAGAGGCAGCCGAATGGCCGCATATCCGCTGCAGTCCATCTTAGATGCTTGTGGCCAGGATGATCCGCGAGAACGGTCCACAGTAGGTATAGGGACTAGGAGGCATAATGGGTGCCACTAGGAGTGGACTCAACACGGCAGGCACAAGACAAGCGAGCAAACGACACACGTGTTAGTCCGGCTTTATTCCACGCTGGATGTTCGTTCATACTGTCCATAATGGATCTGGTGGGCCCTTGGGTCTACCCCAGCACAGAGACAAACCTGTCACCCAGCAAGAAAGGTGCTACCCAAGCCGCTTTGCTGCAGGTGGGGCGCTGTGGGGGTCCTAGGGAACCTTTCCCCTAGGAGAGTACCCCTTGGAGGGAGGGTCAAACCCAGAGGAGCTCCAGGGCTTGAAATAGCAGGCCTCAGGAACCTAGCGTGAGCAGTAGGCACAGGCAGGGAGCCAGACCAGACTGCTTTCCCAGGGCATCCTAGAGCCCAGGCCTGCTAAGGAGCTTTGGCTTTAGTTACCCAGCCCCATTTGGCCTTGCCACATAGGATCCAGATTCAATTCCTGCCTGTTGCCAGCCCAGGGTGACCGAGCTTCCAGAAACACTAGTGGGTCAAGATACTATCTCTATACTCCTGAGAACATGAGGGTGAACCAGCTCACTTAGAAACAGCACAGGAAGGGGAGGACAAGCTCTGGGCTGGAGAGGCAGACGTGGCTGACTGGAAGCCACGGCAAGATTCTCCTGCTGAGGGCGGCCCTGAACCTCAGCTACAGGGAGGAAGTCAGGTACCACAAGTGCAGGGAGGGAGGCTGAAGGCTGGGCCCAGGACAGTGAAAAGGAAGTTATGGGAATCCAGAGTGGGCGTAGCCAGGAATCCTAGCCCCAAGAACAATGGAAGTTCTCCAGGAAGTGACAAGCTACCCAGTTACCCCAGTCCCCAGGGCAAGAAGTGGACCGGTCAGCTGAGGATTTATTGGCGCAAACGCAACCATATAAAAACATAAGTTATGAAAAACACAGTCACGATGTACCCTCCCATCCCCAAAGCCCATCCCAAGCCCCCTTTCTGCAGGAGGCCAGCCTGGCGCCTCCTCAGCGCATCCGGTAGTCAGTGGAGCACGAGAGCTCACATAGCTGGCCCTTGAAGTCCAGGTCAATGGTGAAGTCCAAGTCGCGCTAAAAGGAAAGGTGAAGAAAGACAGGGCTCAGCTGTGGCGTCAGGCCGAGGATGAAGTTAAGTGTGCTGGCAACTTCCAGCCACTCCATACCTGCACCAGCCTTCACCCTACCATGTCTCCCAGCCAGTCTAAGGCAGTTTCTGCACCAAGTGGTAAGTGCTATTGGTTTACTCTCCCAGAGTGCCACCGCTGTCTCCAGCCCACTGCAAGCTTCCCTAAACCCCTTCCATCCATGGAACAAGGCTGGGCTGCTGTGTGTTCCCAACATCACCTTGCTTTCTGATAACCTAAGTGGCTCCATCTTTGTCAGAGGGCACTGAGGGTTATCACTGAACCCAGCAGCCATGCTGGGGCTTCCTGTACCACCCAAGATGACACCGCTCAGCACACCCCCACGTGTTTCCTCTCCTCCAAGCCTCACATTGTTTTTGGCGTTGGGCCTCATGCCAATGGTGCCAAAGATCTCCTCGCCAGTCTTCACTGTTAGGTAGTCCTCCATGTAGAACACAGTCTGCTTCCAGTGTGTGTATGGGGACTCAGGACCTGGAAGGTGGGCATGGTCAATCCCAGCCTCTGTCCGGGTGTTGCCCACACTAAACTATGACCAGCCAGTGGCCCCACAAGATCCCGCCTGTGTTTACAAAGCTACACTTGACCAGCCACTGACAGCAGAACCAGGTTGGAACCGGTTCTCAGTGCCCCATAGCCCCTCACAGGGAATTAATTCTAGGCAGGGGCTCGAACGCTCCATTTCCAACTGTCTTTTCTGAGATAGGGTATCACCGACCAGCCTGTGCAGGTTGACCTTAAACCTGACAGTTTTCTGCCCTAGTTCCCAAGTAACTCTGTAACAGCCATAAGCCCTAAAGGTTCGTCCTCTACTATTCAACACTGAGAAACTTCAATGATGTCCATTGGCCCTGGCCCTGGTCCAGCCCCACACGGCCCTCACTGGTAGAAAAGCCGGTCCTCTTGTGGCATCGGGTGAACTCAATGTTGAAGTAGGCCACCAACGCATGCACGTAGTCATTCCTCTTCACTTGCAGGCAGAAGGGGGAGGTGAAGGTCAGGTCCTCTACCTTGACTGTATAAATGTCCACCTCCTGCAAATTGGTAAGTCCAGTTCTCAGAACCCATCTCCACCTGAGAACTACTGCATGTCAGGACCCCTCCCATCACACCAAGTAAGGCGCCCAGCAAACTCCACCCATTCCCGAAAGTCTCCTTGCAGCCCAGGTTGGCCCTCAAAAAAATTATTTCTTAAAAAAAAGATTTATTTATGTGTGCTAGAGCTGGCTCAGTGGTTGAGAGTACTACTTGCTCTTCCAGAGGACCTGGGTTCAAATCCCAGCACATACTTGACAGCTCCCAATTGCCTTTAACTCCTGTTCCAGATATGATGCCCCCTTCTAACCTCCACAGGCAACAGGCACAACATACATGGGACAAAACATACACATTAAAACACATATATTAGCCGGGCGTTGGTGGCACACGCCTTTAATCCCAGCACTCGGGAGGCAGAGGCAGGCGGATCTCTCTGTGAGTTCAAGACCAGCCTGGTCTACAAAAGCTAGTTCCAGGACAGCCTCCAAAGCCACAGAGAAACACTGCCTCAAAAAAAACAAAACAACAACAACAACAAAAACATATATATAAGCTGGGTGGTGGTGGTGGCATACGTCTTTAATCCCAGCACTCAGAAGGCAGATACAAGAGGATCTCTGTGAGTTCAAGAGTCTACAGAGTTCCAGGGCAGGCTCCAAAGCTACAGAGAAAACCTGCCTCGAAAAAACAAAACAGCTGGAGAGATGGCTCAGAGGTTAAGAGCACTGACTGCTCTTCAGCGGTCCTAAGTTCAATTCCCAGCAACCACATGGTGGCTCACAGCCATTTGTAATGAGATCTGGCGCCCTCTTGTGGTTTGTAGGCATACATGCAGACAGAACACTGTATACTTAATAAATCTTTAAAAACAAACAAACGGGGCTGGAGAGATGGCTCAGAGGTTAAGAGCACTGGCTGCTCTTCTAGAGGTCCTGAGTTCAATTCTCAGCAACCACATGGCGGCTCACAACCATCTGTAGTGAGATCTGGTGCCCTCTTCTGGCCTGCAGGCATACATGGGGTGCTGTATACATAATAAATAAAATCTTTAAAAAAAGTAATAAAAACAAACAAACAAACCCACATTATTATATAGAGTTATGCGTGTGTGCCTGCCTGATTCATGGAACTATATCCATGCAGATGCCCGGAGGCTAGAGGATGTTGGACCCTGGGATTGGGAACTGCCTCTGAATGAGCAGCATGTACTTTTAACCCTGAGTCACCAATGTCTCCAGTCCCACGCTTGATCCTCAGGTCACAGGCAGGCAACAAATTAAATGAGAAAAACCCAAACAACCAAGACAAGTAGGGAGCCCCCAGCAGCTCAACCTCTAAAAGGCAGCACTCTCCAGCAGCCCTGCCTGTCTACAGCTGAGCTTTCAGGGGCTGGGCTTCAGAGATCCTTGCACTCCAAACACCAGGCAGGGCTGGCTTCCTCACATCCCAGCCAGCTTCCAGCATTTGCCTGTCTGGGGCTGGTTCTGCTTCAGTGCACTGGGCCTGCCTTGTCCTTGCTATCTATCCTGGAACTCAGCACCAGATGTGGACCAGACCATCTAATGGATAGGTGAGGAACCTGGAATGCTGACTCTGGGAGTTACCTTTATGAGGCAGGCGTTAGTGACCAGCTGCTTCGGATCCACCACATCCACCAAGGGCTCTTTGATGGCCACGTCTTTGATGCAGGACATATCAAAACCATATACATTCTCCCACCCTGGGTACAGATGGGGGTCAGATGAGCTGTGCAGCCCAGATCATGCATTCACCACCCACTCTGCCCTCCCCCTCTACAGCCCCAACTCACAGTGGATCTTGTAGTCTTTATACTGTCGGTCCTCAATGGCTGTCACATAAAGGGTGGCCCGGTCTGGGAAGATGAGGCCATCGGGTGCCTGAGGGAGGAATTAGCTGAGAGCAAGAGCCTAACACTACCTGAGCAGACCCAACTGTCCACCCCACTGTACTCCCTGGCTATCACCCACCAGAGACCCCTTAGCTTTCTGTATCTAACCCTCATCCTTGAGTCTGGCTCCTACTCAAGCCCAGGCTGTCTTACAGTTCTTAGGATCCTGGAGACAGTCCAAAGTGAAAGACACCCACCCCACATGTACAGAGTCCTCCAAGTCCTGTCATCTCCTGGCTGCTACTATACGGCAGACCCCTTTCTGACGCAAGACGTCCACACTGGCCTCCTGGAGGTCAGCTTCTCCTCAGGACCCGGTGGCACCCTGCTCTACCCTGTGAGCCTGGGGGCAGCCCTGTGGGGACCCCGCCTCACCAGCCACTTGTCACGGGCATGCAGCACGGTGTTGAGCATGGACTCGTAGAAGAGGCAGTAGCCCATCCACTCGCTGATGATGATGTCCACTTTCTCCACAGGCAGCTCCACGTCCTCCACCTTGCCCTTGACGATGGTCACCACTGCAGACACACAGCACGGTGAGCAGCGTCCCCGGCTCTCTTGAAAAATGGTCTCACTGTGTAGCTCTGGCTGCCTGAAACTCTTCTATACAGACCAGACTGGCCTCAAACCCAGAAACCTGCCTCCTCAGCCTCCCGAGCACTGGAATTAAAGGGCTATAAAACTGGACCCACATAAAACCAAAAACCCTGGACCCAGCTCAAGCCAGAGGCGCCGCAGCAGCGGCCTCATGCTGGTTTGTGGGGCTGGGAGGGGCTCTCTTAAGAGCCCAGGGTTAATATTCTCCAGGTCGGGGCTTCCGCTCCTAACAACCCTCAGAACAAGCAGTGAGTAAGTATGTCAGACCTTTCAAACGAGGGCTCAGTGCTCGCCACCAAGCGGATGACCCGAGTTCTATCCCTAGGACCCACAGGGTAGAATGAGCGAGTAGACTTCCACTAACTGTCCTTTGACCTCCACACAGACCCACACCCCAATAAATTAAATAGTGTTAGAAAAAAAAACCCAACTAACTATACAGCTAGCCGGGCCTGGTGACACAGGCCTGTCACCCCATCTTCGTAGGAAGCTAAGACTCCAGAACTGAAATTTCAAAATTCATAGAGTATACTAATGAACTTATCTTACAAGTATGTGACGACATTCCATGGAAACTTTGCTTCAGTCTCCAGGGCAAGGAGGCAGGCATGGGTGGATGCGGCCTATTGGGCTCTGGGTGACAGTGCCTACTTAAGGTAGTATGTGGCTGGTTGGCAATGGCGCACACCTTTAATCCCAGCATGTGAGAGGCAGAGGCAGGTGGATCTGTGAGTTCAAGGATAGCCTGTCTACAGAGTGAGTTCTAGGACAGCCTGGGCTACAGAGTGAGATCCTGACTCAAAGACAAAACACCAAACACACACACACCCCCATAAACACTTAACCACATCAAAAACTAGTTTGGTGTGAAATGCCGTGCCAGAGATAAATGTCTAAGTAGATTAAAGACCTCCAACAGACAGGCTTAAATAAATGTATCCATTTGTATATGAGCAAGGCCTTTAAAGGAGCCAGGTGTCCAACCCTCAGGTGGGAAAATGCGGAGCTGCAGACTTGTAGCAAGTGTCCCCTGCACACCCAACCGTGCAGTGTGGAGGAAGCTGTGGACACACTGGCACCAGGCATGGCATTCTCAGGAAGGCAGTGTCAGTCACGGCCAGAGTGGACTGCCGAGGCAGAGCTCACAGCCCCAGACGTGACAACTCAAAAGCAGGGTGGCAGAGTTCCTGCCTTGCATGCGGATCGCCTAAGTTTAATCCTGACACTCCCCAAACAGCCCCCCAAAACCCGAAAGCACCAGGGCCAACAGACCCCAAACACAAAGGAGCCACCAGCTGCCCACTGTGGCCTCTAATGCTTCACTGAGGCGTCCAAGAAGCTGGCTGCAGCGTCGTCCCCTTTGCCCTTCCCCTACTTCTCACCGTGGTCCAACTTGTTGGCTTTCACAATCTTCACGGCATAATCAGATATGCTGGAACACTCAATCTGGGGCAGAAGAAAGAAGGGCGGAATCCAATGCTTCCTCTCCCACCCTCTCCAGCCTCCATCCAGCCCACCCCCGGCAGGCCCCTTTCCGAAAGACTTACCCCAATGACCTTACGGGCCCCTGCCTTGGCTGCAAACATGCAGAGGATGCCAGTGCCTGAACCCACGTCCAGCACCACCTTGTCTTTGAAGAGGTGCCGATTGTGAAACATAGAGTTGCGGTATGTAAGGGTACGCACCTCATCCTTGAGCATCTCCTACGCATGAAGACAGAGGACCGGAATGATGAACACAGAGAAACCACCACACCCATGGTGAAGAAGGTCAGTGCTCAGACCCCTCAGTTTCCCTCCCTTCGTCAAGCTCCTATTTAGAGGACACGCATACTGGCCAGGTTTATCAGTGCCACCCAAGACCCAGAGATGAATCAGGAGGCTGAGGCAGGAAGACTCTGGCTTTAAGGCCAGCCTAGAACACCAAAAGGCATGACAGTATTGGCCTGTCAGGCAGGAGGAGCAAAAGCGAGGACAGGCTTAGACAAGTTAACACAGAGAGTAAGCAGACACAGGTGAGCAGCAAGGAGGTCGCATAGCACATGTAAGAGGTCAACTCTCGTGTCACCTTGCAGGCTCCAGCTGCCTTCTTTTTTGACATGGTGTCTGAGACCTGGTAGCTGATCAGGTTAGCTAGCCTTCCAGTGAGCCCCAGGAACAGCATGTCTCTGTCCTACCCCCAGAGCAAGCACACACTACTATGCTTGCTGTTCTAGAACTTATCGTGCACGCAGAACATGGAGGCCACAGGACAATTTTCCCCACGTATTCTGAGTTCTAAGGATCAAGTTTAGGCCGTCAGGCTTGTGTGCCAAGCACGTCTACCACAGAACCATCTTGCCAGCCTATGCCTGACTTTGGGGATTAAACTCTGCAACTCACACTTGCATGGCAAGACCTTTATAACTGAGGTTTGTCCCCAAAAGTTAATTTTGTCTTATGCATATCTTCCATTTCTTCCCTTTATGATGGTGGGGATGGAGGCCAGGTCCAGCATATGCTACACAACTGCTCTACCCTTACTGCTTAGCCACACTCCACGGGGAGGAGCTTTTTTTTGAGACAGGGTTTCTCTGTAGCTTTGGAGGCTGTCCTGGAACTCACTTTGTACCCCAGGCTGGCCTCGAACTCACAGAAATCCGCCTGCCTCTGCCTCCCGAGTGCTGGGATTAATGGCGTGCGCCACCAACGCCCGGCTTGGGGGAGGAGCTTTTTAAAAGGCCCTTGGAAAAGATGAGGATTCCTTAGAATGCCATTTCGGTTGACTGAACCCTGGGTCTCCATCAAAAGGGTGGGGGAAACCTAGTGTGGCATGAGCTGTGGGCTAATTCCCACCGCCAATCACCAGAGGGCGCCAGACACCGGCAAGGCCTGACCTCATCCTGAGGTCTGAGGCACGCAGGCGCAGCACTCCCGTCCCAGACAGAAGACTGGGCTAACCCACCTCCAAGGCGGTGGACCTGGGAAGGGTAGCAGTGCCCTCGTGGGGACAGTCACCTCCTGTCCCACCTGCCAGCCATTCAGGATGCTCTGGATTCAGGGGAAGTCTTCACTCACCTCATGGATGCCAAAGTGGGCATAGGAGTCAAAGTAGTAGTCTTTGGATGTCATGTCCTCAGCATTGGGCTTCTCACTGCTTTCTGCTTGAGCACAGGAAACCTGAGAGGAGGGAGTAGCAAAAGGGTCACAGGTGGGTCATCTGAGCCTCCTCAACCTGCAAGAAGGCCCTCCTCAGAATGGGACAACCCTCCAGCCCCTCCAGCATCTTCCTTGCCCAGGCACTGTTTCCACTTCCAGGACCCACCCGAGCACCGTCCAGGGAGCAGACGCCTCGCCTACCATCTCTCTAGGCTCTATGCCCGTCTCTAGCTCAGCCCACAGCTGGGGAGGAAGGGGAGGGAGGGCAGAGAGGGCAGACACATGGAAAGCCAGGGGAGGAGGGCTGGAGATGGAGTTAAGGAAGCAGCCATGGTTCTGGGGGAGCCAGGAAGAGGTCTGTCTATGTGTTTAGGGGCACAGAGGAATCAGCTTTGGAGCAAGAGGATGATGAGACCTCCTGGGGAGCCAGGTGTGTATCATGTGCTTATGGGAGTGGGCTGGGTGGGTGGGGTTTCACAAAAGGATATTTACTTCTTCAAGAGGCGGCTGGAGGCTCATCCCATTAGCCAAGGTGGCTACAAAATTCTAGGAGAGAGTAACAGGGAAAAAGGGTTAGCTATGGGGTGGTGGGGAGGCCTTTGGGGCAGTGAGTGTTTTGTAGGCTGGCTTTTCCTGGGCATGGGAGTGGTGTAAGCAGGAGCAAGCAATGAGGCTGCAGTTGGGTGAGAAAGGTAGAAAGGGGGGGGGGGGGAGGGGCCTCCTGTCCCAGCTGCTGGCTGAGGAGATGATGGTGGCTGGCCCCATGCTGTCCCTCTATGGTCAGACAACTGGCCACATACACCTACCCTGTCTAGGCCAGAGGACCCAACGCCTGCCAGGGCACATGGGCACTGCCAGCTGCCGCTCCCCTTCACTACCTAATCCCCTAGACTTGGTGACACTTCCTGACAGGCACACCACACTCAAGTGCCAGGCATGAGTAAACCGGAGAGGGCTGACAGGTAAGCGGTGCTGGGCACCTGTGTGCCCCATCTCAATCCTGCCTCCTGGTCAAAGAGGATTCCATTAGAAGATGTGGCGTACCACCACAGCACAGCCAGTATACCACCCCCAACGCCACCGGGGGGAGGAACACGAGGGTCAAGCCTGCCCCCTGAAGGGTGTGCCCCCAGGGCTACAACACATGCCCCTGAAGCCCCTCCTTGCACACCCCACCTGAAAACAGCCCTCTTTTTTCCCTGTCCAGAAGTGCCAGGCCCTGGGTCACTTCAGTGACACTGCAGGCTAACTGATCCCATGGCAAGTGTCCCAGCAACTGACCTTCCTCTCCAGAGAACTTGAAGAGGTACGGCCACCATCAGATGATAGCCCATCAATGACTGCTGTCTAAGGCCAGAGAGGCCATGATCTACCATGCTCTCAGCCCCCCACAGCAGTGGGGGGAGTCCCCATGACGACCTCTCTTTTTCAGTAGTACAGATACCAGCAGGTAAACAACAGACTGAAGAGGGTTAGTTCTGTTTCTGGCTTTTTTTTTTTTTTTTTTTGAGACAGGGTTTCTCTGTGTAGCTTTGAAGCCTGTCCTGGAACTCGCTCTAATAAGCCAGGCTGGCCTTGAACTCACAGAGATCCGCCTGTCTCTGCCTCCCGAGTGCTGGGATTAAAGGCGCGTACCATGGCCTGGATGACTGACTGAAGAGGGATTTGAAATCTGAGACTAGGACCTGATTTACAGGCCTAGTAGAGGACTCTTTCACAAGAGCTACTCCGGGAGGCTTAAGGAAGGATGGCAAGTTCAAGGCCAGCCTGGGCAACAGGGTGAATTCAAGGCCAGACCCACTGTGCATCAAAGGAAGTAAAAAGTGGACTGACTACACCTCAGGGGTGGAAACACTCAACTACAAACAAATAAGCCAGATGCTAGAATTAGATTCTGGGGGGGACCCTAAAAAAGGGATCGGGTGGGGGTTACGGCCGCTTGGTCCGTGTACCTATAGAGCCATCCACCCGAGGGCGCTTCCATGAGGCGGTGGGCTTTCGGCCACGCCCCATGAAAAAAGAGCCCCTTTCACAAGCCCATACTGACCACGAGGGGGTGCCCGGTGCCGGATCCGGGTCTCCTCGGTAGAGATGCCCCACCATCCTCTAACAGAGAGGTCACAGGTCTCTGCCCATCCCCCCCAACCGCACAAGGGTAACTCAGAGTGGAGGCAAGTGAGGCGCGGGGGTGATGCTCTCAGGTCAAGCCCCACGAGGCTGCACGGATGTCCACAGCCCAGCCTGGGTGAGCGGATGGCACGGCGCAGGTGGCACCCCCAGGACCCCGGGAGTGCAGCCCAGGTCATCGGGCCGGGGGCGGGGCCTTTGTCCCGCACGTGGAACCCGCGGGGCCCCTCGAGTGGCACACCCCTCCCCACGCTGCGCGACCACGTGCGGCCCGGCTGGACGCGCCCCCGGCCCGCGACCACGTGCGACGGCCCTCGACTCGACTGCGAGCTCCGAGAGCCCCATGAGCTGGGGTCACCCTCGTCACGATCGAACACGTCCCCCGATGCTGACCTACGCGAGGCCCAGCGCACCCAAGGCCCCGTCTCCACAGTCCAGGCCGTGGGTGATCCGTCGCCCGCCCCCCCTCCACCCCCCGGGCCTAAAGAGCCCAGCTACTCACCTCCATGATGCAGTTCGCGGCCTCGGCTGCCGCCATCTTCACCCGAGTCCTCCGGCCTCCGAGACCCCCCCCTTTCTTCTCTCTCCCCCCCGACCGGGGACCGCCTTTTACCAGAGGGTCTACCGCCCGGCCCCCGAGACCCCGCCATACGTTTTCATTGGCTGCTACAGACGTCAATCTAAAAGCCATTGGGTGGTATGCACGTCCGTCAAAATTCAAGTGCCCGCCCCTCCTAGCGTTCAAAGGACCATCCCCTCCTGTCGGCTAGGAAGGGAACAACTGTCTGTCTATCTTAGCCAGCTCATATGATGATTGGATAATATCCCACCAAGTCTTCCCGCCTCCTTCCGGCCAGCTCCGCCTCGAAGCTTCCCGGCGGGCTCCGCGCTAAGCGGATGTCGAGGAACTCCGCTGTCGATCATTAAGATGGTCCGCCTCTCCGTCGTCGCTATTAGCTGAGCAAAAGGTGACGTTGCATGGCTCTTATTCCATTCCCTACGAGTGACTGGTCAGGAACAACAGGGGCCATTGGCCCACAAGGAGGCAGGCCGGCTTTGCACAGCAGCGATTGGCTCCCGGGAATGTCAGTCATCAACGTTGGGGGGGGTCTCGGGACTGGAAAGCCTTCAGGAGGAACTCGGGCGCGTGGGCGCGCTGTGGGGAAATCCGAGTCGCCGGGAGCAGATGTGGTCGCGTTCTGGTCTGGGGTCCTGAAACTTGTCAGGAGTCGTGGTGAGCGTCAGTGCGATGAGCCCTACCCCTGCACTGGACTGTGCCAAGTTCTGAAGCCCTGTGGCCTCCTAGTCCTTTGCAGAAACACCCGACTATCTACCTTTGTTTGGCCAACTCCTACCGGCAGTCACCGGCAATTTGGACGCCATCTCTCTCCTCCAGGAAGTTTCCCTGGACCTGCAGAAAGTTACTTACTCCTTGCCTGAGGATAGATGCCCATTGCTGGGTTTATGCGCCTTTTGTCCCACCAGTACTTGGCCCAAGCACAGGATCCTTTAAATTCCCAAATGTGCCTCCAATCCAGGCCTCCTCAAAAAGTATCCATGCGTGCACATCTGCCATGCTTCCTCCCGACTCCTGACACTTGTTTAGTGTGTATGTGCATGCGTGTGTGTCAAGCACCGTGTGCTTCAGACCCTTAACACTTAAGATATCTGATGTGACCTGTTTTTTTTAGGCAGAGTCTCACGGTGTAGCCTTAGGCCTGCAACTGTCACGTAGATGAGCCTGCCTTTGTCTCCCAAGTGCAGGGATTTAAGGCGTGCGTAAAATTCTCCCAGCCAATATGATTTTTCTTTTCTTTTCTTTTTTTTCTTTTTTCGAGACAGAGTTTCTCTGTGTAGCCCTGGCTGTCCTGGAACTCGGGGATCCTCCTGCCTCTGCCTCCCTAGCGCTGAGGTTAAAAGCGTGCGCCACCATCGCCCGGTTCAGTATGTTTTCTTGACTCCGGCCGGCCTATCCTACTTCGTCCCCCATCTCAACATCCCCAGGACCTTTCCCTCTGTCTTGTCAATCCCCGAGCCTTCTCTCCAGCCCTGGGGCTCCTACCTGCCAGTCCCTACACTCACCTCTGCCTATGGCCTTTTGGGGCTCCCAGCACCCCCAGGACAGTACCTCAACCCCGCAACCACCTCCATTCACAGTTCCCTCCTAGTTACCTGGGCTCTGGCCGCCCTCAAGCTTCCATGCCTTTTCACATGCTGCCCCCTCTTTGGGGATTGAACTTGCTTTTCTATCAGGACGAGAGATTTTATCTACAGCTAGTGAATGCAGGGCATTCTGACTTCTACCCAGCCACTCTGACAAGAGCTTTTAATAACCTAACACAGGGAATCTCTGCAACCCATTCAGATGGCTGCTATTATAGATTTTTTTGTTTGTTTTTCGAGACAGGGTTTCTCTATAGTTTTGGATGCTGTCCTGGAGCTAGCTCTGCAGAACAGACTGAACTTGAACTCACAAGAGACCCACCTACCTCTGCCTTCTGAGTGCTGGGATTAAAGGAGTGCATCGTAGTTTTTTTGTTTTGTTTTTTGGGTTTTTTGTTTTGTTTTGTTTTGTTTTTTGGTTTTTCGAGACAGGGTTTCTCTGTATTGTTTTTTGGACCATGTCCTGCAACTCGCTCGAACTCACAGAGATCCACCTGCCTCTGCCTCCCAAGTGCTGGGATCAAAGGCGTGCGCCACCACCGCCCGGCTGCATCGTAGTATTTTTAAAGTTTATTTAATTTGGATTTTGTTTTTATGCGCACAAGTATTGTAGAGATCAGAGGTTGTAGTAAAAATGCCTTCCTAGATTGCTCTGTACTTTGAATTTTTCATTGTTTTTTGAGACAGGGCTTCTCTGTGGTCCTGGCTGTCGTGGAACTCACTCTGTAGACCAGGCTGGCCTTGAACTCAGGTCCACCTGACTCTGTCTCATGAATGCTGGGCTTTGTACTTTGAATTTTCAGACCTGGCCTGGAACTCATAGAGATCCCCTTGCCTCTGCATGTCAAGTGCTAGGATTAAAGAAGCTGCTATACCAGGTACCACCTTATTATTTTTGGTATTTTTAATCACCTTATTTTTTGGGAAAAGGCCTCAGTAAATCTGGAGCCTACCAATCAGCAAGCTGCAGAGATCCTGTTTCTGACCTTTGAGTGCTGGGATGACTGATGTCTTTGTGTCTAGCTTTTCATTGGGGGCTGGGAATTGAGAGCAGGCCTTTATGCATAGGCAGCAAACATACTATACTGATAGATCCATTGCTTTAGCCCCAATTTTGGGTTTTGTTTTTTGCGGGTTTTTTTGTTTGGTGGTTTTTTTTGGGGGGGTTCCAAGACAGGGTTTCTCTATGTTTCTCTATGTAGTTTTGGAGCATGTCCTGGAACTTGCTCTGTAGACTCTGGCCTCAAACTCAGAGATCTGCCTGCTTCTGCCTCCCGAGTGCTGGGATTAAAGGCGTGGGCCACCACTGCCCGACTCACCAACTTTTTTTTTTTAAGACAGGATTTTTCGATGTAGCCCCAGCTGTCCTGGAACTCACTCTGTAGACCAGGTCTGCCTGCAACTCAGAGATCTGCCTGCCTCTGCCTCCTGAGTGCTAACACTAAAGGAGTGAGTCACCACACAGGGTATAAATCCCAGCACTCAGGAATCACGAGTTACAGAAAAACCAGGGCCAGAGAGACCCTGTCTTAAAAAAAAAAAAAAAAAAGGTAGACTGTAATAAAGGCCCCAACCGTGACCTCTCATCTCCAGGAGTACTCCATCCAGTCTACTCAAATGCACATGTACACACAAGTCAACTCACACTCAAACACTTTACTCTTTTAGTAAACAACAAAGCTTTTAATATGGAGACATTTCTAAACAACCTTTTTGGCAAAAAAAGTGGCGTGGCAGCCACCATCCCAGAGCCCTGAGAGGAAGTATGTGTCAGCAGAACCTGCGTTTGTGGGTTCAGAGGAGGCAGTCAGTCCAAGGGTAAGTTCAGGTCCACAGGTGAGATGGCCAGGATGCCTGCCTGCGGGGGACAAAGAGCCCATGACACCGCTGCTGTGACACAAAGACAGGGGCCGAAAGACAGTGACCCCGTGGGAAGGACAGAGCCCTGCACTTAGGCAACTCAGTGGCTGGACGTTCTGAGCTGGGCTTATTCTCTGCAAGACCTGTCCTTTAACTCCATGACATCGCTGTCCAGCCTCTGGTGCCCCATGTGCTCCCGTCACCTGTGGTAACAGAAGCAGGTATGCCAGCTTCTTGGATGAGTCCACACGTACATCCTTCTCCACATTCTGCTCCAGCTGTAGTCTGGATCCTCCCATCACTCCCTTCCTCCCTATCCCAGGGAATGAGGAAGAGCCCTACAAATGCTCACAACAGCATCTTTGGCCTGGTGCCCACATTCAGCCTTGAGGGAACCTCCAGCCTCATCAACCAATGAAATCCAGAGTCCTTCCTGCTGAGACTGGCACCCATCTCCAGGACTCTCCAGGTCCATCCACAAGGCTAGATGGAGCTATGCACAGACAATCCATATCCACAGCGTGATCAAGGCCCTCCCACGGCTGTGTATCTAGACCACACTTTTTCTCTCCTTCTGATGTGCTTTTTGTTGTTGTTGTTGTTGTTTTTTGTTTTTTAAGACAGGGTTTCTCTGTGCCTTTGGAGCCTGCCCTGGAACTAGCTCTTGTAGACCAGGCTGGTCTGGAACTCACAGAGATCCACCTGCCTCTGCCTCCCGAGTGCTGGGATCAAAGGTGTGCGCCACCACCGCCCGGCTGATGTGTTTTATCCTAACTCTCACTTGTTAATACTTTGAGACAAGATCTCATTAAGTTGCCTAGGCTAACCTTGAACCTACTCTGTAGATGTCTTTAAACCTGAATGTTCTTGCCTCAGCCTCTTTGGTGCCTGTACCACCAGGTACCATCACTGTTCCCTTACTCCCCTACCTACAGGGGTCACCATAGAGCACTAGCAGGTCTGCAATTCCCCGTGTACCTTAGGCTGCTCTTGACCTCATAGAAATCTACCTGCCTCTGAGTCCTGGGATTAAAAGTATGGTGTCTTGCCAAGTAGATTTGTTTCTGTTTTGTGTATAAAATAGTAAAAAGTCCAGGGAAGACCTCACCGGGCTGATAACCAACATAGGAAGCAGAGGTCCGTGGGATCAGGGTCAGTAGATAAGCACCACACGCATCCATCCTCCACTACACAATCACCCTAAAAAGATGAGGGGCCTGGGGAGCTGTGGGAGCTATTCTCACAACTGCTGGATCAAGCACGGTGGGCACACAGCACGTGCTCAGTAGGCACGTGGGAGGAATGGAAGAGCTGGGAGTTCTGGAAGGAAACCTAAGCTGTCCCCCATCAGATGGCAGTGGGGTAAACTGAAGCCTGACAGGTGTGTGCAACTTACCCAGCCCCCATGGGCCTGGATCCAGGGCGCAAAGCTGTGTACATGCTCCACACTGAGGCCGGCCAAGGTACCCCCCAGCCCAGCCACACGCCGGCTCAGCTCCATGGCCAGAGCCAGGCGGGCCAGTGGTTCCGGGGATGGTGGTGGGGGTGCTGGGCATGGCAGCGAGGGGCTTGCACAGTTTGGGGAGGAGCTGACTTCCCGGCTGGAGAAGAGTTCCACGAGGCGGGCAAAAGAGCCTGCGGACAGTCGAGCCAGTCTACGGTGCAGAGCCGGGTCAGAAGCTAGCTGAGGGGTGGAGGGGCGGTGTCAGTTACTGCCCCCCCTCAGCAACCACCCCGAGGGGCACAGCTTCCAAGCATCAAGTCTTGCCCACCCAACTAGCCTCTATGGCCTTAGTCAATGGGCTCCCAGGAATGGGGTCTAGACTCTGAGCCAAGTATAATTCTGAGTTCTAAACAGTAAATTCTCCTGTAATTAGGATTAATAACAGTCCCTGAAGCCAAGCCAGGAGTGGTGGCACACACCTTTGATCCCAGCACTCGGGAGGCAGAGTCAGGCAGATCTCTGAGTTCAAGGCCAGCCTGGTCTACTGAGAGTTCTACGACAGCCAGTGCTACACAGAGAAACCCTGTATGGAGAAAGAAAAAAAAAAGTCACTGAAGCCATTTATTGAAACCTTGTTTTCTACCCAGATAATGGCTGTTATAGTTTGTCCAGATTTCAGGAAACTCAGAAGCTATACCCACCTCTAGTGGCATTTTCTCCATATTCTAAGATGTGTCCTTTGTAGTCAATCGGGGTTCTTTTGTTTGTGAGACAGTACTTCATTATGTAGCCCTAGGTGGCCTGAAGCTACAGACCAATCTTGAATTCACAGAGATCCACCTGCCTCTGCCTCCCAACTGCTGAGATTAAAGGTATGCATTCATGTCCCATCTTGTCACCCAGGTAGCTGGGCTGCCCCGCTAACTTTGGACTAGTGGCAATCCTCCTGCCTCACATTCCCAGAGTGCTGGGCGGAAAGCTGTGTGTCACCATGTTGACTGTAATCAAAGTTTACACACCTGCTCAGTCAGTCTCTTACCTGCCTCATGCGTCTGTTTGTTTGCTGTTCTGTGCTTTTGAGTGTGTTACTAGGGGAGGGTAATGGAGAACAGAGTTAAGGACCTCAGCTTGCTAGGCAAGGGCTCCACACTGAGCAATCGCTAAAGCCTCTGTGGGTTTTGTTAACTAGATCCCCTTGCATGCTGATGGTCCATGAAGGGCACTGGTTTCAAGTCTTACTGTGGAGAAGCTCCAAAGCTCCTGTAAAGATGATGCGGTGTTCACTGGAGCACCTCACTGTCCACCAATTCCTGTTTCTGCACTACCCCACAACTGTCCTCTCCAAGGTGTGGCGCACAGGCCCATCGGTCACCTTTTGGTTGATGACTTCTGCCTCCTCCTCCAGCAAGGCTACCAGCCTCCTTAGCAGGGCTTCCTTTTCATTGGATGGGGGACCCTGGAACTCTGGGGGCAGAAAAGAACTGACTAAGGAAGGGCCCGGCTTCACTCCCATCTCCGCAGTCTCCAGGGCTTCTCTGCTACCTACCTGGGCTGGGCGGAGACCTCAGCTGCTCTTGGACCAACTGTTCCAGACGCTGGGCAACCAGGGCGTAGAAGTCTGAAGGAGCTGGGCCTGTAGTGCCAACAGAACAGGGCACTATAGATTCTCCTCCAAGCATCTTACAGACAGGAACAACTTCCATTTCACACAGGGGTAAACCGAGGTCATGACAGAATTTGTAAAAAAATGTCAAAATCCTCAGCCTTTCTACTTCATTTCGCCCTCAAATTAAACTGAGAATATTCAACCTGAACTTTGGAGATTATTTCATCCAATAAGGGCAAACACGGAGCACCCCTGCCATGACCGCCTTCCGCAGTCCAGGTCACAGCAACTGACCAGGCTCAGCCCTGCAGCGCACTTTCTCCTGAGGTGAGCCTTCTAACCAGGTGTGCTCCTCCAAAACTATTTCTTAATTTGAAGGGCATGGTTGTCCCGCCTGCATGTGTGTGTGTGCCACGTGGGTGTGAGCAGCCCATGAAGGCTAGAAAAGCCCATCAGAGGCTGAACGACCCAGCAGTTAAGAGCCCTGGCTGTCCTTCCAGCAGACCTGGTTCAATTCCCACCACCTACATGGTGGCCCCAAGTTTCTGTAACTCCAGATCCATGGAATTCAACACTCTTCGTGGTGGCGCAGGCCTTTAATCCCAGCACTCAGGAGACAGAGGCAGGTGGATCTCTGTAAATTCGAGGCCACCCTGGTCTACAGAGTGAGTTCCAGGACAACCAAACCTACAGAGAAACCCTGTCTCAGGAACAAACAAACAAACAAGAAACAAAAACAAAAATGAGATCTAAGCTGGGGCTCTAATGATGCATGCCTGTGATTCCAGTATGAGGTAGGCTGATGAGGGGGGCTCCACAAGTGTGACATGTCTCAACACTGCCTAGAAAGAAATCTAACAGAGGAGGGGCAATAGTTATGGCTTGTGCTAAAACGGAGCGGTGTTCACCTTGTAACAGGTACTGTCTGGATTTTTCTAACCAAAGCTCCTAGCCGTTTAAGTTTCACAGGTGACCTGGCTAAATCTCTTACCAGGCTGCGAGCCATAGCAGGGGCGTAGGGGAAGGAAGCTGGGCCGAGAGGACTCCAGGGGAGGGGCTCCTCTCCCCAGGGGACAAGGGAGGCATCTTCGGAGGCGGCTCAGGAAATCTGTTGGCTCCTCTTGGGCAGGGCTCCTGGGGACAAGAACCTCGGAGTGACCCCATGGAAGATCACTCTTGAAACTCGAGATAGGAATATGGGGTCAGATCTGAAAGGAGGAGACAGGCCGGGGCCAGTACCAAGACTCGGGAAGACCTTCCAGTCACAAGCTGGCCCTGGGCGAGTGGCAACTCACTCACCTGGGTGGAGTTGGGACAGGGGACCCAGCAGCTTCACCGCGCCTAAGGAAGGCAGCCAGAACCCTCAGTGTGTCCTCACGGAGCCCCAGCTCTTCAGAGCCGGCCATGGAGGCACCTGAGGGAGAAAACAGAGGATGAACCCAAGTGTGGAGATAAGCTCAAACTTCCGAGTCTGAACGAAGAGCAGGACACGGGAGACAGAAGGTTGGTCAGTGGGACACTTGATTCCGTCGAGGAAAAGGGGGCTGGAAAGAGAAGGGTTTTAAGACAGGAGGCAGCTGAGTGCTTAAACTTCTACATTCAGGAGAAGGAATGGGGTTTGGAACTCCCAGCCCTGAATGCCGAAAGACGCACTCCTCCAGGTATTTAAGTCCTTAGAGAACTACCGATCCTAGTACGCTCTGCGGTACACATTGGCCCGATTTCCCCGCTTTTTCGCCGAGCAGTCTGCTGGGAGATGTAGTTCCAACTACCTCCGGCGGGCGCCAGAGACCCGGGTGCTCGGACGTCAGAGAGGCAGGACTGACTGCGGCCGCTCACGCAACTGTTCCCTTCCCTTTCTGTTCTAGTCCCTTCCTGGCACCCCGCTCACCTGGTTCGGGATTCTGCTCTAGTCGCGCCGGCGCCGGCTTTCACGCTTTCACTCAATTTCGACAAACTTTTCTTCGGAAATTCAACTTTCCCGCGCCTGCGCACTGGGCCGCCCTGGTAACCGCCCCAACGTTGAAGGGGCGTGGAATGCAGTCTCATTTGCATATGGCGTTCCCAGCATGCCTGTGGGCGGAAGGCCAAAAAAGGGCATTGAGAGAGTTGGGTGGCGCCCAGAAGTACCCTTTCGGCTTTTGCGTTTCTTACCCAAATTATGAGAAAATTATTTCTGTCGCAAAATATCATCAGAAAAGAAAGTCCCAGCGCCCGGAGGCTTAGCTGACAGAAGGGGAAGGGCGCGTGGCTGCGAGACTCACAACTACCGGCGCCCCACGAGCGCGCGATTCCTCCCCGGTAGGTAACGCGGAAGAGTCGGGAGGGTGGCGGCCTCGGGGCGCAGGATGGGGCAGCCCTGACGCGCAGGAGCTCGGCTACCGAAAACCAGAAGGGCCGCGCGTTGAAGGCCTCAGTCTCAGCACTTGCTGCAAGTTCGAGGCCAGTCGGTGCTCCCGAGTGAGTGCCAGGCCAAGCTGGACCACGGGATGAGCTCCATACCAGCCTGGGATACGTGAGTTGAAGACCACCCGGCTCCTGAATAAGTTTGAGGCTACCTTTGTTTACAGTGAAATTCGAGGCCAGCTTGAGCCACACAGTGATTCCCAGGCCAACCTGAGTTGCATAGTATAGTGAGTTGAAGACCAGCCTATGCTACATACTAAGAACCTGTCTCAAAACATCCATAAAAAAGAGGCGACTGCACTTGGGGACACTTGAGAGAATACTCTGGAAATAAGCCAGGGGTTTCAGTGCAAGGGAACTGTGGGTAAGGGAGCACTCCCGGTCTTGGAAAGACTAGGGAAAGAGGGCTCCCCTAGAAGCGGGGTTCCTGCGTTGGATAATAGAAGGGGTTTACATTTATAAAAGAGAAGGAAATGACGGGTAGGTGTAGAGCTTCTAGCGAAGACGCTAGGGTAGGAAGGGCGGTCACATTGGGTATGAAAGGGTGGGAAGCAGCTTCCCGTTTGTACCCCACGAAAGCATGGGTGAAAGATTTGCGCTGTGGCGGGTCAGGGAGTGCGTTTGCCCCTTGACACGCAGACTTAGGAACTTCCCTGTGTGCGCAGGCCCGAGCATGGGAACCCCGAAACCGCGGATCTTGCCCTGGCTGGTGTCGCAGCTCGACCTGGGGCAGCTGAAAGGCGTGGCCTGGCTGGATGAGACCCGCACTCGGTTCCGGATCCCTTGGAAGCATGGCCTGCGGCAGGATGCTCAGATGGCTGACTTTGGCATCTTCCAGGTGCTGGGGGCCAAAGGCTTTGGAAGACTTTGGAGAGGCGTTCCTGGGCGTGGCTAGGCAGGGGCGGGGTCTTGCTAATGAAGGTGGATGGGACTGGAGGGATAGACAGGAACTGATTGACAGATTCCAAGACTAGAACCCGGAAATTAAGTTTGGGTTGCTTAAGGACAGTCTATAGCAGTGGTTCTCAACCTGTGGGCGACCCTTCCACAGGGTCACTGTCAGCTATTTGCATTACGACTCCTAAGAGTAGCAAGCTAGTTATTATTTTATGGCTGGGGTCAGCACAGCATGAACTGTATTAACAGGTGGCAGTGTTAAGAAAGGTGAGAATGACTGCTGCCGAGGATGGGAGATCGTTGGGGGTGGGCTATCGATTTTAGAACCCTTAACCCTTAAGGTCTGAGAATGCTTTATGGATGGGGTCATTAACTTAGCGTGGACTAGGCAGTATTAGAGGTGAGACTGGTCCCCAGAGGGTGTCCTGGGGAAGGCGTGAAGGCTGACATGGTGGCCTGTAATCTCAGCACTCTGGAGGCATCAGCAGGAGCCCAACTTTGGTGCAGTGTGTGAGAAACCCTGTTTCAAAACCAAAAGGATGAGAATGGAAGGCCTAGGGACCAGTGAATGTGAGACCTTGGGTCTGAAACCACACGATGCACCGTGGTGGGAGGTGTCAGGACCTCAGGGCAGAGTCTAAGTCATCTCCCTTCCTATCCTGGAATCACTGGTGTGTCAGGCCTGGGCCGAAGCCAGTGGTGCCTACACCCCCGGGAAGGATAAGCCAGACCTGTCAACCTGGAAGAGGAACTTCCGGTCAGCCCTGAACCGGAAAGAAGTGTTGCGATTAGCTGATGACAGGAGCAAGGACCCTTTTGACCCTCATAAAGTGTATGAGTTTGTGACTCCAGGTGCGTGCGCCAGGCTGGCTTGGGGTCACAAAGACCTTGGGATCAGGAGGGTCTCTGGCCTTCATTCTTCTCACCCTTTCTCTGGACAGCAGCAAGAGACTTTGTACATCTGGACACCTCTCCTGATACCAATGGCAAAAGCAGTCTATCTGATCCCCAGGTGAGGAGGGGCTGGTCCTGTGCCCCGTCCGTCCTCCCCACCCCCACCCTGGGCCTCACTCATCACCAGTCTGCTGCCCTCTTGAGCCGGCTGAGGCTGTTAACCAGGCTCTAGCTGCTCTTACTTCCTCCAGGAAGACCTCTTGGATTTACTGGATGACTTGGTCTTGGGACCCCTCCCAGATGAGGGGTCCTCAGGCCAGGCTATTGCTCCTGATCACTCTCAACTACTGCTAAGCGCCAGTTTGGACAGCGTTCCAAGGCCGGCTCTCCAGGACAACCCGCTGAGGCAGCTGCTAGCTGAGGAACGTGAGTGCTGGCTGTGGGGTAGGAAGGGCTGCGGCAGGGGCAGCAGTGCAGCCCTCAGCCTGGTCCTCGTCGTCTCTCCCCTTTCATGCCCCTCTCAGAATGGGAGTTCGAAGTGACCGCTTTCTATCGAGGCCGCCAGGTCTTCCAGCAGACACTCTTTTGCCCAGGGGGCCTGCGGCTGGTGGGCACCGCAGCCGATAACAGGACTCTGCCCGGGCAGCCAGTCACCCTGCCAGACCCTGAGGAGTTTCTGGCAGACAGGCTCGCGAGGGAGTATGTGAGGCATGTACTCAAGGGCCTGGGCAAGGGGCTGGCACTGTGGAGGTCAGGGCAGTGTCTCTGGGCCCAGCGTCTGGGCCACTCCCATTCCTTCTGGGCTCTGGGTGAGGAGCTGCTTCCAGACAGTGGGCGAGGGCCTGATGGAGAGGTCCCCAAGGACAAGGATGGAGAAGTGTTCGACCTTGGGCCCTTTGTGGCAGGTGAGTACCCTAGGGGAATTGATAGACCATGGTGGTTGATTGAACTCAAAGTCTTGATACTCTGCTCTGTGACAGGGGACAGGCCTGTACCACCAGGGGCACAGGCTGCTGTAACTGTTGAACCTAATGTAGTACAGGCACCGTAAGATGCCGTGGCAACCATATTGTAGTAAATACAGAAATGGTGATGGGGCTGAGGACTTGGCTCAGTGGTAGTGCCCCTGGAAAACTACAGGAAAAGTAAGTCTCTAGCAGTTTTGTGGAATGATGAGTCAGCATCTGCCATGGGACAAGCCCATGTTGAGAGTCCATAAAAGCCAAGTGCTGATGGAGAATTTCAAAGCTATGTTGGGAAAGCGTCTCCCTCTGTATGTAGTCCAGGCCTCCTTAGTGTTGGGATGCCAGTTGTGAGCAGGTACCCAGTGTGACGTTGCACTTACATTAAATACTTCAGTTTTCTGAGGCACAGTCTCATTGTGGCTTCTGCTGGCCTTGAACACATCCCTCCTGCCACATGCTCAAAGGCTGGCATGACTGTCAATTTAGAGAACCACAGCAAGGCCTGAGGAATTGAAGTCACCCTGACAGCCTCACTTCCCTGGGCTCCTAGGAACACCTTCCTCCTCACTGCTGAGCCTCTGGGTGGAGTGGGCTGCTGAAGGAAGGAGGGGATATGGCAGGGACTTGTCCACATAGGCAGTGCCCGTGGTGGTGGAGAACATCGCCAGGGAAGACAGTAAGTTGAGTGTACGGAAAGGGTAGAGGGTCATCCCTTCTTCTCTGACCTGACTCCTGGGTTCCCAGATCTGATTGCCTTCATGGAAGGAAGTGGACACTCCCCACGCTACACTCTGTGGTTCTGTGTGGGGGAGTCGTGGCCCCAGGACCAGCCGTGGGTCAAGAGGCTTGTGATGGTCAAGGTGCCAGCTGTCTTGTGCTTCTGGGGCTGGGAGGGTCCATTTGTGGAGGAACCTGCAGCAGCCAGGGGCTAAAACTCCCAGAAACCCCCTACCCACCACCAAGAAACAGCAGCCCCAAGAGGACTCTTAGAGCCACTGTTCCCCATCCTCCACAGGGCCTGTCTGACACTAGCCCCTGTAGCTGCAAGTCTTTGCAGCCTTTAAAGTGTACAGCTCCCAGGAGCCCCATTGGTTATGGTGAGGGGTGGGGGAAACAAAAGCTCCTAGCAGCCCTAGGCCAAGTGAAGGTCCACCCTGTGCCATGCTGGGGGCTCGCAGCTGATTGGAGATTTACCCTTCCTGCCCCGGTAGGTTGTTCCCACATGTCTTAAGGAGCTGTTAGAGATGGCCCGGGAAGGGGGAGCCTCCTCCCTGAGAACTGTGGACTTGCACATCTCCAACAGCCAGCCTGTCTCCCTCACTTCTGACCAGTACAAGGCCTACCTCCAGGACTTGGTGGAGGACATGGACTTCCAGGCCACTGGAGACACCTAAGCCCTGCTTAGCTGCCATCAATAAAGCAGTTTATGCCACCACCACATGTCTGTCTGGTGTTACACTGTGTCCAAGCTGGTGACGATGGCACAGGGGTCTGTTTGCCGTGTGCAGATGAGTTTAGGTGCTGGGTGAGTGAGGTACAGCATGGCTGCCAGCTCTTGACCTCTCTCCAAGGTCCTGGAGAGGGCATCACAAAGGAAGCAAGAGACAGGACAGGACCAGGCTGCACGTCATCCCTTCATGGGTGGCAGCTAAAAGCCACTGTGGGGTGACTGGGTGGCCTCAGTTTCCTTTTAGGGTCATGGGCTGTCACTGCAGCCTCACAGAGCTGCTGACTAGAGGCACTCAATGCGGTCAGCTCCAATGTACATTAGACAGCCCTGGGTCATGTTGCCCCCCACAACCTTTTCCTCCTGAAAGGAAACGAGCATCTTATGAAGACAGACTCTCTGTAGCCCTGGCTGTCCTTGAACTGAGATCGGGCTGCTTAAGTGTGCACCACTACACCACCTACATCTCATGAAATCTTTAATGAAGTTGGAGGACATGACAGAAGGGCTGAGGCCTTGGGCGTAGGCTAAGGGGCCAGGATAACGGGTAGGACGGGGCTGGGTGGGGGCTCTCCTCTTCCTCACAACGACCCCATCATCCCACTGGGGGGGGTAGTGGGGAAGCGGAGCCATAAATATGTCCAGAGTCTCAGAGGCGCAGGAACAGGGTAT